TGAGGCTCAATTTGGCCAAAGCAAGTCGCCACTTGGGGAACGGACAGGCCACAGCATCTTACGCCAACACTGGAGGGCCAGGTGGCCGAGCAATCATCATACCCGAGTCCACCACGCGTGATGGAATTCCAGCAGGTCAGAGTCCGCATACCGGTCAACAAACTATCACCGCGCAAGAAGGAAATTACCGTTAATTGTCGTTGTTTGTTTGCAGTAATGACTGCATCCCATAAATACTGCAAATCCCCGTGCATATGTTGTCCCAGCCATCGAGTCGTCGCCTTCTTCTCAATTACTTCCTGGGACTCGCATGTTCGCTTGTATTGACTGAATGTACTATTCTGTGGGAGACTGCCGCGCTGACTCTGCTTTAGCCCTGCCAGGGCTTAAACCCATGCCTAATCATCTATTCCGCGCACAATCGGCCTTTCCGACGTTATCGAACTATTCGCCGCCTCATACGTGCGTTCGCTCGTAGGTAATCGATACTTCCGCCTCGTCTGATTGGCGACAGCTGAATGATTACTCAGTCCACAGCCTAAACTTGACACATCCTCATTTTTGCTCCTAAGCGGCTGGCTATTTTACGCGGCGCTTGCGGTGGCCACCGTGAAGCTACTTGAGCTCAATAAAATTGTTCCAACTCATTCCATCTTCCCAGACTTGTGATTTGGGGGATCGTTCTGCAGTCGACACAACTACTTGCGACAATTCCTCCCACCTGGCGCCACACAGAACCGGGCCGGAAGATCGCAACGGCTACCGTGTCTTCCCCATATAACCACGATAAAAAAAATTCGGCATTCACATTTGCACTGATTTGACAATGACTGAGGACTCACCTGAAGCGAAGTCATTGTTAGCCTTTCTTCCAAGATTGCCATTCGTGTCTCCTCCGATGTCGGGCTCCGGCCCAAGGTTGTCCGCCAACCAACTCTGTTTCGCTCCTCTTCTGTCTTGTCCTTTTGAAGTAGTTGCAGAAATTGCTTTTTCTGGAATCACATGGAATAGAAAATACATCAACTGAATGCAGCACAGCTTTCTCATAAAAAGGTAGTAGTAGGCGGTGATTTTTTTCCGGAGAAATAAAACAGAAACTTTCAGAAAGTGAAATTACGTTTGCCCTTGGCAGCCAGTTGTGCTGCAGCCGCGAATAGTTCACCATAAAAAAGATCCGGAAGAGGACACAAACCAAAACCCTAGCTAGACCAAAGCTCGATCAGCTAAATATACAGACATGAAGGGTACAAAAGGTTTCACATCTACCCTCGAGCATGCATCTTGATTGACGAAAAGACGTAGTAGGAGGAGCTTGCAAGCGTACTTCAGCCGGAAGTGCTTTGCTGTACTGGTGATAAACGTTCGTCTAACCGCTAAAGTGACGCACCCGCCCTGCTCTGCCTTGGGCCTCGACAGAAGCCCTGACAGCCATAGGAGCTAGTAGTAGGTTGACAGACGGGACAAGCTGGACAGATGAGTTCCGCTAGCGGTCAGGTAAACGTTCATCAACGAGTGTCAATATGCTCTGACCTAAAAACCGGCGAGACAACGAGCTCATAGTTCGGTGGTTAGGGCTTTTGACTCCGATCAAAAAGGATCGCGAGTTTGTGGTTCGGGTGCTGCACCACTTGAGTCTGGGTAGGACGAGCTGACGACGGCTAATAAGCCAGCAATGGCCATTCTAGTCTCCTTTGTCTTTGCCGGCAATACTATCTGCTTACTGCACTGTGTCCTCTGGAAATCCCGAGGGACAAATTTGAACCCCACAGCAGGAGGACGAATAATTGTCTCTAAAGATAGAGCTACTGAGTGAATGAAAGTGACTCACAGCAGGAATACGAACTTAAATGACATAAACTCCTATTGAATGTGAACGTGGCTCTGCTGGTAGCAACCAAATCCGGGAGATTGGAACCATAAAAGGGTTCACAAATTAAAGTTTAGAGGGAGAAGTTTCCTAGGAGAGAGGTCGCGTTCACCGTAGCACAACTGTTAGATAGACGCACTGGTTTTCTAAAAGAAGAAAATTCACTTGGGCCTGCACAGCAAAAATGCTGATAATAATGGCTGGAAACTGTAGGCTAAAAGCTCATAAGTGGATGAAAAATAGTTCGGCTTCGGACTAACCTTCTCTGCGTACGTTTTGAGCGCAGGCTGGAGCTTCTTAGATTGTGGTAGTGGATTCTGAAGATAAAGATAACAGAGGACTACTTTTATCTTCACTGCTGAATCACTTAAGTACAATGACACTTTATCAATGAATAACATTATTTTCTAAGCTTCTTAGGTGCTTGATTATTCCAAATAAATTGATAAGGGTTAGACCTGGACTCGTACGGCTGAGCTTTCTTGGAAAAATCTCAATCTCGATTCGCGACAGGGTGTCGGCAACCGTGTTTCCCCATTCGTAGGAATACGAGTGACGCAGGGAAAAAATTACGGTAAAGTCGAGTTGGAATTTAGTGAATAGGTTGCCAGCCATATCAAAACGATTTGTTGCGTGATTGGATCACGTCGGAATCACCAATTTGTAGCGGCCTAAGCACTGATTTTATTCAGATCACTAAAGTCATGGGGCCGAATCCCAGGTTATTGGTAAAAAAACTGAGGCACCTGTGGGAAGGATTTATCGTCCTTCGATGTCATGGCCAAGCGCGTAGGAATTTTCAGTTATTTACGTGTTCCCGACACTCTCTTAGAGCAAGTAAGGTCTTGCAAAAACATATAATATGTAGTTAGTTAGTATTTCGACTTTAAACAATTTCTCCTGAGATGAAATTTTTGTTTTTACTTTTTCTCAAACCCTTAGAATCATTAGGTTTGCACGAGACTCGGTTCGGAATGCTCATCTATCTGACAGTCTAGTAATGCCAGAGCAATGTTTTTTGATCCATGCCTACGTAAAACTACAGAGGAATCGGAATATACTAGAAGGCACATGTGCATGTACAGGAGTAGGCTCTAAATTATCAGGTAGAAACGAAAATAGAAGCGAAATTCCTCAGCGATATCAAAACTATGCAGCTTTTTGAGGTGTAAGAGAAATGGTGGAACCTTTTCGTGCATCACCATGACATCTAGTGGATTTTAGATTGACTGCTTACGAAATCCTGTTTGGGCAGTAAGCTTACTGTATCGGGATTGGTGGATTTCCTACACTGCAGTAGACTGGAGAAGTAACTTGACCCAAGAGTGAGTAAGCGTTCGACTTCCGATTGGAGCCTCGTAGCTCAGGTAGTAAGAGCGTTGACTGTACTCACGTCTTGTTCGTACTATCGTGAGCTCAAATCCCACCAAGAACACCGAGTACTCACCACTGAGTCCAATAAATTATTCAAATCTGCCAAATTCCCCCATATAATAAAGTGCGTCTGGTAGTTGTCTGACGGATTCCAGATTGATTGCTTACGAAATCCTCGTTGGGCAGTCAGCCTAATGTATCCGAATTGGTGGATTCCTTACGCTGTAGTTGGTTGGGCGGATACCTTGAACCATGCATGATTAAATTAACGGCTCGAGGCTTAGTACTTCTGCCGATAGAAGCGAAAAGCCGAGTTCCAGGAAACAGTTAAGAAGTAGAAAATGCGATCGTTGGAACAAGAAGTTTATTTGCTTGACGTTTCAGATTTTGTTGAGAGCCCCTCATCAGAGGTATCCGTAGAATAAGGGCACAGCCAATAAACAAGCGCAATGAATTGTCATTTCCATACTCCGTGTTCAAACATCGTCTGAGCAGGAGAACAGTCACATGGGAAAGGCTGGGCCCAACAACAACTCCGACGACGTCGAACATAACTGTCGCGTCATTCTCAAGCCCGCATCCGACACGGATGACGAAATCGCTGCAATTATTGACTCGGAAGCGGACTACCAAGCCATCATCACATCAATTACGACCTCAGCAACTGATAATTGTAGTAGGCATGCGGTCAAGTGGCCACTACGAACTGTAAATACGGCGTAATCTATGCAAACCTCACCCTAATCTGTGCATGTATCACCATATTCTACTGTTATATCTGACGAGGGGTTCTCGACAGAATCCGAAACGTCAGGCAAATAAACTTCTTGTTCAAACGATCGCATCTTCTGCTTAGTAGCTGTGATCGTAAGAGAGTTAACTGTACTACTGTCTTACTCTTACTGTCGTGGATTTGAATCCTACTAATACCATCCCGTTTTTCCAATCGCGTAAAAATGGAGTATTCATAACCTGCCCATCAAACACAACGGAAGCTGAGAACTGCTAAGGAGACTTAGCCGAGGAAGTATAAATGAAGTTGGCACAGATTCAAGCCTACGGACGGGCTGCTTTATCCCATGACAACGCGCCTAATAAACAAATGCTCCTCGGGAGGGAACGCAGGGATCAGGGTAATGGATAGCACGCCGTGCGGCTACGAAGGAATGTGGATGCCAGTAGTGACTGTTTCAGACTGTTTTATAACCATTCCAAGAGCCTTTTGTTTTTACCTCGACGGCCGGGATCTCCTTTAAAGTGAGCTGTTTGGCTCTTCGTCTTTGGTATTCCTTCATGGCCCTCATAGTACCGGCTCTCAGGGCACGTGTACGCTCGGCCTCGGCGAGTGAAACCTCGCCAGCCAGGACTTCTAAGTCGAGAGAACTGACGGAGAAGTCAGGAGACTGCTCTAAAAGTCGATCCCTAAAGGGCACAAACGAACAAAACACGGAACATTACAGTTGGTTGAAGGATGAAAATTCTTTGAAAATCAGAAATAATAAGCAGACTTGTAGAGAGATCGATAAAAACTAAGAATCAAAACCAAAAGTGTCGCACAAGATTAAGAAAATGATGGTCGAAACGGAAAAATGGGAAGCTTGATTAGCCCGCTTTATCAGTCAGAGATAAGT